CAGCATATATGCAGCTTGTCACACAGCATAAAGAGGCATGAGAAATTAGAAGGAAAGCAAGCAAACACATCCATGTGCCATGGCACAGTAGAATCAAGCTCAGCATCAGCCGAGCTAAACACCTTCTGTAAACATGCACTGTAATCTATTATCAGCTGGTGAACACACTTTAACATTCAGCAGCAGTGAAGCGAGCAGAAAACCATATGAATGGTGGCTTCCAGTTTCCACAGCGGGCGGTAATGCGTTACTAGAAAACACAATCTCTGAAAGCTACTGATTATCATCCATAACAACCACAATGTCTCAGTGTCACAAACCCTAATGTGGATTAAAAAGGTGCTTTAAAAACACCTGAATTCTCCCAACTGAAAATAACTGCATGCCTCACTGTATCCTATAAATTTCCCACTCTCCTGGGACTAACAGAGTGTGGAGGACGTGGATGCAACTGTGTAGGAAAAGTAATGAACGCTGACCTTTGACCTTTTGTTATATATTCTGCCTCACTGATCAAAAAATGAGAAGCTGTGCCCAACAACCAGTGCGACAAGCTAAAACAAATAATGCAATCATTTAATTGCGAATGGAAAATCAATAATGTTTCTAAATTTAAATTTGCAGCTTCTCTTCCTGCATTAGAGGAATGCACTCATGAGAACATATGGGCTCAATACACATTATGACACAGATGATTACGGAATCCATCATCATTTGTGAAACTTCTACTATTCTACGCAGCTGCAGAAAACCGTCCACACAAACACATAATTAACTGCAAACAAAAAAGCACACAAACAGCATACTGCAATTCCCCTGAGGTAATTTTCTGTGCTTCATTCAGAGGGGTGGATAAACTGAGATATGGGATAATGTGTAATGCAGGGGCGAAAGTAACACCGCAAAGAGGCTACATGCATGACATTATGTGTGTGTGTATGAATGTAGGATCTAAGCCTGTGGAGTTCTTGAGGAAACATCTCGGGCAGTGAAAGTTTGCAGCGAACAGAAGGGGAAGAAGAGGAGGGATTCAGGGTTGTGAAGCTGGCCAAGCGCGCAGCTCCTGGGGAGATGTGAAATGTTTTTGAAGCCACGGTGGAAGCACAAATAGATTAATAGATCTCTATTAAAACAAACAAAAGTAAATAATTTTACATATTACATAGTACTTCATCAGTAGCAGCAGACTGGATAAAAAAAAATATATGGCAGTGTTTTTCCTCGCTCTCTCTTTCAATATAACGCACAACCCACTACTCCCATTTAAATGCTTAGGCCGCTTTATTAGGTACACCTTGCCCTTACTTTTACTTTCAGAAATGCCTTAATTCTTCAAAGCAGATTAAATGAGCTGCTGGAAACAGTGATCAGAGATTTTGCTCCACATTGGCATAAGAGCTTCACATAGTTCCTGCAGATTTTTTTCGGCTGCACACCCATGATGTGATTCTCTCCCAAAGCTGCACTATTGGATTCGGATCTGGTGACTGTGGAGGCCATCTGAGTGCAGTGCAGTGAAGTCATTATCATGTCCAAGAAACCAATTTTAGATTGTTTAACCTTTGTGACATGGTGTGTTATTCTGTTGGAAGCAGTGATCAGATGATGGGTTCACTGTGGTCACCAAGTGATGGACATGGTAGCAGCAATGATCGGACACTAGTAGAGTTTAAACACTGCTCAACTGGTACTAAAGACAATATCCCCCACACCTTTACACCACTACAGGGCCAGAACCGTTGACATAGGGCACAATGGATTCAATGGATGGCACCCAGTGTGTTCTTCTGATACTGTAGCCCATCTGCCTCAAGGTTTGACATCTTCTGCATTCAGAGATGCTGTCCTGCATGCCTGGGTTGTAACAGGTGGTTATTTGAGTTACTGCTACCTTTCTGTCAGCTTGAAACACTCTGGCCATTCTCCTCTGACTTCAACAAGATATTTTCACACAGAACTGCCGCTCACTGGATATTTTCTCTGTAAACACCCGTTTTTATGTGGGGGGGGGGAGCAACAGAAGTTAAGAGTCAAGATTCTTGGATGAGTAGCAAAATACTTGTGCTAGAAGAGGAAAAGAAAAGGACAGACTCGCCTATTATGCATCAGCAAGGAGGTAAAGTTTGATTTGATGGGAGGAACCTTCAGAAGCAGAACTGATTCATCTTGCCACGGGGGAGGAAAAATCAGTGAATATCAGCAAGACTTTCCATTTTCGATACAGCAGTGAATGAGCGTAGGTCTTGCATGCATTAGATTTCACAATGAAATGCCACTGTGCAATTACTTTTGATGACACACGCCAGCAGAAGCAGGGAAATGTCAAAATCACAATTAGAACCACAGCAGCCAAAACAAAAAAAAGGACGTTTTCACACAGGCACGCACAACCACACTCACACACATATACACATGCAGACCTTATAATGCACGGATAAACTGTGAAATTGGATAAAACAATTGTGTTCCCATCAGGATTAATTTAATCTGTTTTTTGAGATTAGTTTCTCATTAGGTCAACGTTTCAGTTTTACTAAGACTGTGGCTTCTGATCATGAAATAGCAAAACAAATCTATTTCACATCATAAGATTAGCATATATTATCATGGAAATATCATTAGTTATTTTAGTGCTAATAATTTAGAGATCTTACCGGCTATTATGTGAAGACTTAGCCAGGGACAATGTCCAAAACTCTGAGCCAGCAGATATCCACGCCAGCACATCATGTTTAATGTGACGGGCATTTTTATGAATGCAGATTAATTTAAAAAGCTGCTCCAACACTAAACTGTTGTCAGAAGGTGGTTTTGAAATTGAATTTCATAAATGTGTTCCTTCCTTTGTGGAGAATTCTTATCCAGTGCCTGTTTAAAGAGATTAAGTGCTCCTTCTTCTTCCTCTATCAGCTGTTCCCTTTAGGGGTGGCCACAGTGGATCATCTGCCCACATCTCACCCTATGCAAAGCATCCACATTTGCCACAGCAACCTTCCTTCACTATATGCATGAACCTCTGTGGTCTTCCTCTTTTTTCTCATGCCTAGCAGATCAGTCTTCAACATCCTACTTATCATACTACTTATTAAATTTAGACATGCCTCAGGTCCCAGAAACAGATGATGTAAGGAAATGTAACAAGAAACACTGATGTAGGGAAATTTCTGCTAAACAAAAGCAGTAATATGTAATATGTAAATATATGCACAAAAACACACAGGGTATAAAAATCCTACTCAGCAAACGAATGAGCGTCCTGAATGTACGTTCCAGGTTATTTCAGTCGCCGTCAGTGGTTGCAGTGCAACGGGTAGAAAGTACAGAACATAATGACCTACCTGTAATGAACAACCCTGACATTTACATCAATCGTTGATTGATGTACGGTTCTTTAGCATTTATCACAAAGGCGCACACACGGCTCTGATTTCATTCACAGTCATTTCAGTCAGGAAATGACCTGCAGGAGAATTTGTATCATAAATGCAACACCTTTCCTCATTGCTGCTCCGCTCAGTGCGTCCATCTGCACGCTCAGGATAGATAAAGGGCCCATCTGATGCCTGCCGCTGCAAGCACATAGATACATTTGCAGGCGGGAGGGGAGGCAGGGACTTAGTGAGGAGGAAAGGAAAATTATTAGTAGGAGGTGTCAATAGCATGAGTAACATCCCCCTTGTGTGAACAAGGGTCAAGATCAATGCCCTGACATAAAATGAGAGAAGAAGAGGTGATGAGAGGTTGTGGAGCAAAAAGACAGCAGGAACGATGGTTTGAGTATCCAGCACAGACTGAACAAAAGGGATGTAAAGAGGGGCACAAATGGGCAAACAGACAGCAGAGAAACTGGGAAGTATGAAATATGGTTAACAGCAGCTGAAAAGGAAAATGTAGCAGTAAAGAGTGATGGAGACAGAAAGCAGAAAAACTGAGAAAAATGGAGAAACGGGAAGGTAAGAGATTTCACCGTGAGGGTATAAATGCCCCAAAAGCAGAGAGAGGACGGATTGGTGGAGCGCTTTGAAACATTTTCAAGGTCTTCTGACTTCTACTGAAGTCTCCAGTCTGCACACAGCCTTTCTTGCTCTTTCTGACAAATTGTCCTTTTTTTCTTCAATTTCTTTTAAACGACACAGTCATTTTTCTTCCCTTTGTTCAGTGGATTCTGCGACGATTATCCTGCTTTTGGCTGCCGTCGTACATTAGACGGCAAACTTTGACTTTTGGCTTTCTTCTCTTTCTCTTTTCCATTAAAAGCTTCTCTGACTCATTACTGAATCACTGCAGTATTAAACATTGATGTTATCATTAAACAGTGATAGGTGAAAACAAGGGGTCAGTCGTGGCTCAGACAACGTAACCTCGGCTGAATGAATCAAGAAATTAAGTCATGGCGAATCACTCTTTCTGGAAATAAGGGAGCAACAAATCGATGGGTAAAAAATTAATTAAAACCAACACAACATTAAGTGATTTGGTAAGGTTGTTTTTAAGCCTTCAAAGCTAAATTGAGATCTGAGGATGGTTTTGCACAAACGGTCTCTACCTAGCCCTGTGGTCCGGCGTATCGTGTGTCTCTGCACTGGTATATTCTCCATTTCTTTTGATGGTTATTTCCCCATTAATGTTAGTTTACATCAGTGTGGTTGGTACTGCACATGGCCTTATCCTTTTACTTCGTTGTAGGCCCCTTTTTTAAATCATTAAACTTGCTCTAGTGGTGGCATCTCTTATTTTATGATTTTGGGGGGTAGGTAACAAGTTTAACAAGTGAGAAATAAAACTCTGTGGATATGATTAATAAAAACCCATTCAAATTCTGGATAAATTAGGACTTTGGTTAAAATAATATAAGTTATAGTTTTCACCTGAATGGAAACTCCTAAGGCAGTCGAGTCCCATCAGAACAAAAGTACAGTATTTCTGAGGCAAGAGTTACCCTGAGTATGTCATTTTAAAGCGCTAAACACTAGAAAACAGAACAGACAAAAGAGCCTTACTCTCATCTGGGTTGGGTGAGGCAAGGATGGCGCTGTGCTTCCTCTTCACCTCTTCAACTTTCTCTGCCAGCGATTCGATAAAACCACGGATCTCTTCCACCTGTCAAGAGAGCGAGACACAAAAAGGTGCTTTAGATCTGCTCCGTAGCAGGAAGCACCTGTGACTAACCTGGCAGATGCTGTGAAGACCACAAATATGAAAGTTTTTCCAAGTTCATCCAGCCTCAGTCATCATTTCTCCATGCAAAACTGGACGACTCTCTTAATTATACCGTTTAATTCTGACACAGATTTCAAGATCTGGCTCCTTTGAAATCCACTGAGGTTCGGGACTGATATTCTACCCCATCACCTCTCGCCTATACTTCCTGCTGCCTGGCAGCCAGCTGTGCTGTCTCTGGCTCTTGGTGACAGCTGGAAGATCAGTGGGTCACATCTGTCAGTGACTTCATCAATCTCTACTTTCATCTCAGTCCATCAAACTGCTGATCATTTTCTCCTCCTTTACACCTGCTCTGCTACAGGCCAGCCTATCCCCATGTCATTCTGGTCATTTCCTTGCACATCTCTCTGGCTTGGCTTTTTAACTCTAATTCCACTTTTCCTCTGTCACTCTTCACAGCTCTACTACAATCCTGAGATTTCCTCTTCTCAGCCCCGGTGATTATTCGCCAGTTATCTCTTTAATTGGCTTCTGATTGGCTCTGTTTTTTAATAACATAATTGGCTCTGAAAGACAACTGGGAGAGAGACCAGACACCGTGGGTGGGTCGCTTAGGTGAATGCAGAGCTAAACGTCATGGGGGGAAGAGAGCAAAAGTTAAAGATGTAAGAGAGTGAGAAAGGACTGGAGAAAGGAAGGACGCCAAAGAGAGTAGAAGATGAAACCACTTTAAGCTGCCTCGCTTTAGAAATCACACGTTAGTGAGTCATGGCACATCTCTCTGCTCTTATAAGGCATCAGATAAATTTTATTGGTATGAGAGAAAAACATGATCAGACAAGGCTAAAAAGCCCACAGATGTGTAAAAACAAACTGATACACGTACTTGGAGGGTAGCTTTGCAACTGCTTGTGACTTTTTGACCCAAGACATTTGTTATTATTCTCTGTGTCTTGTGCAAATGTCCTGTTAAACAGCCTTAATCCCCAGCTGGATCTTGCAGTAATTCATTAGTTTTAAGTTATTCTAGTGTAAAAGTCTCATTTTTATCTGGTAAGGAGAATGATTAGGAGCCTCGAGGCAACAGCGAGTCTTTCTTGCTTTGGCTCACTTCATTCTTGCATCATCAGGTGAAGCATAAATGGGCTCTGTTGCACAATGGAAGAAAAGTAAGACATGTTTTTTGACAAATAGCTGAAGATGAGGGTCTTTTCTCTGCCTTTTCCTTTTTCAGCTCACTGTTAGGCACTTATTTTCTTAGAATTATCCATATTCAAAACCATTTTTTTCAAAATTGTTCATAATTTCAAATATCAGCCTCATCTACTACCCATCTTTAGATCTTCAAATTAAACTCTTTCTACAGCATCACAATTTAGATTTAGTTGCGTCTTAGAGTAGTGTTTGCATCCATCTAAACGATCTGATACTCAGACAACGCCAAAGCAGATTAAAGCCTCAACATATTGCATACAAATTTATTCACACACTTGCTGTTGTGAATACATTTGTGTGCAATACATGAGAAAGAAATTATTACTTTATAGCAGGAGTCTAATGATTCACATACTGTGCAAGTCTTGAGCCACCCATCACGTCTCTGTTTCTTTAGGAGAATGAGAAATAGGAGAAGCATGCAAACATATATGGAAACACAGAACATAAAGCAAAAACAGCTGTAGAATTCAGCTAAACTTGAGTTGTGTTACATAAGAGCTTACTCATAATCAAGTAGCTCTTCGCCTTCCTAACAGTCATTCCAAAGTTCATCTTGACACCACCAGGACGGAGCCTCCACCGTGTTTTGCAGATGGCTGTAAGCACTCACTGTTGCATTTCTCTCATGACCTCCTGGATACATATAGACCTCAGTTTCCTCAGTTTTTTAAAAGCCACACAATGTGGAAAAGAAGTTTTCGGTAACTGCTCTTTTGGATATAATCCTTTATTAATCCTTCGGGATTAATAAAGTATTTCTGGGGGGGAAAAAAACACTGTCAAACTTTTGTCTTTTTCATAGATTAAATGAGAACAAGGGATGCATTATTGTACAGGCTGCTAGTAACAAAGAGTATAAAGATATCATTTAAAATTGGCTCTTTCCCAAGTTATTTTTATACACAACACTGCTTCATACCTTGAGACTTCTGTTGTGGTTTGGCATACAACCAAAAAAAAGAAAAAAAATATTCCTACGAAGATGATCAGATACAAGGACTTGACTGAAAATAAGTGAGGAGCAGATGATGTCTAAAGAAAGACCTTGAAAAACTTCCGAAAGCCTAAAAACTATTCTTCAAGGCAAACCCATCTCCTCGAAAGCAAAATATAAAGAAAGGAGTGGCTCAAGACTTTTGCACAGTACTGTAAACATTTATAAAAGCCCGTATCAGAAAAAGCTTGCAGAGAAAAACTGCACTGCTGATTTTCATAATCAACAAAGTAAAAACGCTACTTAAATGTAAAAATAGAGCTTTTTAATCACTTTATCGTGAATGCATGTCCTGGCTAATGAGCTTCAAAGACGAGCCACATCACATGAAGCAGACCCTAAATTAATTTTCTAATTAAACTAATTAGAACTTCTCTGTGTATCCACCATTTCAACAGCACTAATAAAGATTACGGAAATATAAGAAATTCTTTTAGTTACAATTTTCATTGTGTGACATGTAAAAAAAAAACCAAAACAATATTTCGTGGGGTGGGCAGTTTCAGTGACTGTTACATAATCGCATAGTTTAGACAGCATCAGGAAGATATTCAGCCATGTGCTGCTAAAACCGACTGTTGGTTTGACAAATGCAGCCTTAACTCTTACCCCTATAGGTATTATGTGCATTAATCTCCACATAAACAGGCATGCACACAGATAGATACTAAGCAATTTGCACACTCAGTGTTTACAGTGTGACTCAAGGTCACAGTGGTATTTCCACTGTCCGTTATCCCTGCAGATCACTAGTGAAAGCTTAATTAACACACCCAGTCGGGGTGGAAGCCTGACCGCGCCTGCTCTTCTTCTGCTCCCCTCACCATCTACATCTCTCTGTCACATATTGATACCCGTTCTTCCTCTCTGGCCTTGCTGTCTAACTTCTCCTAACGACTCTTTCAAAAATCTGCCACTCTCACTCTCCCTGAAGCTTTTAGCTCAGTGTCAAACCGCTCTCTGTGGATCCCTCTGTCTACATGTTTCAGTCAAACTCTGCCTCCTTCATTTCTTCACTTGAGACAGACTGAAAATTACAGACAGATAAAGAGGGCTGTGTTTCTATATCAGGGATACAGACAGTCTGTCAGAAGCGGGAAGCAGCAGAAGAACATAAATGAGAAAAATGTAAGAGAAATGGCTGCAGCCTGCAGCGATCCTCCGGAGCTAAAACATCCCATAATTACAGACTTTTTGAAGTTATACCCTGGATTACCTCTGTACTGACTGTCAAACCTCAGATTCAGGAGTTTTAGACTTCGCAGCTGAAGAAAGAAAGAATAGAAAACTTTCTGCACTTTTTTTTTAAATATAAAAATGCGTTGTTCTGGTTGCTGACATACAGGCGTAGCTGAGAGATACCAAAATTGTTTTCATATTTTGCATTCAACGGGGCGGCACATTGGTGCACTGCTTAGCACTGTCATTTTACACAATGAAGGTTGTTGGTTCAAATCCATGATCTCCCTGGGCCTGTGTGGGCTTTGTCCAGTGCTTCACTTTCCACAAAAAAACCCACCACCAACAACAACAACAAACAAAAACTGGTGATTCTGAACTGAACAGAAAAGCTCTTACTGTGATGGGCCATCTACCTGCTTTGCTAGTGCCCAGCCTCCCGTGCCATGACCCCTACTGGATAGGCAACATCGGAGCATTAGATAAGCTTTTAAACAAAATGGACGGCTGTACCAGATGTGCCAGGATGCTGAGTCACAAGCCGATTGATGATTCTCTTCCTGTTTTAGATGGTGTTCTTCTGTTGTGTTCCCCCCCACGCCACTGTATACTAGCATGTGCAACAAATATTGCCACTGCCACCTTAGCCACCTGTGATCTTAATAACAGGGAATGTTTTAAAAGGTGGCCACAGTTCAGACTCAGAAAAACAAGGGAAAAAAGAGAGCATACATTTTGAGCATGAGTCTGCACAGTGACTAAGCATTGATTCTTAAAGGATTGAACGACATTCTTCCAAAATTATTTCCTCCTTTTTTGCTTTGAGGAGAGTGGTACAAACACTTGGACATGTCAGTCCAAAATCTTCAATGTTTTGAAGACATGATTAACAACATTTTCACAGTCAAATTATTGAGTGTCCCTTCTTGCCCTGTTGATGGGGACATCGTCATCTCGATTGGGACATGAATGTTTCATCGCAGCATGAAGGTAATTGCCTCCAAAATCCTGAATGATTTAATGTAATCATTCCCTGGTAGAAAAGTGGATCAAAAGCATGCCAGAAAAGATTAGCACGGCAGAGCCACCAGAGACCATTCATTCTGGTGGTCACTGGTTCCAGTTTATCCTTAGTCCTTTTCCTGGTTTCTGTGCAGTGCTTAGCAGTGCAGTAGAGCTTTCATGGTCTCCCCCCTGTGTGGGTTCTCTTGCTCCCAGAGTCCAATCAACCTTGAATTTAAAAAAGAAAAAACTAAAAACTTTAAGTGGTTAAAGCACCTGAGGGACCTGCTGCAGTAACAAGATAACACATTAGTAGTCATCTGATAGTCGCGAAGCACATGAATGAGCCACTAATGGTGAAGAATGAAGGAAGTAGCCGATGCCGAGCCGAGCCAACTACTACAAGCATAACTTCCCCGCTCTGTGCGCATTAACATTTTGCTCCATTTGAGAGACCACTGTAGTAGACAAGTTCTGGTTAATCTGCATTTCGTCTCTTGCCCATTCTTTGGCTCATGAATAAAATAATAAGACTGGACAGAAGCAGCTGAGGTGGCCTGTTTGATTGACCTGTGATCAGATGACTCCACGCAAGAAAAGATTTTTCGAGGATACGCACACAGTCAGAAGAGGTATTCACAGACTAATTACTCATTTATTATCAATATTTACATACTATATGGTGCTTTTTGATTGCCTCTGCTGCCGAGTTTCTCCAAAACTGTGCCAGTTTAACACAAACTTGTTACTAAGCTCAAACATCTGGCAGGGTGTGCACTTCACCACATTTAAATTTACATGAAGTTATGGTTGATGGAGAAATCTAAATGCTAATGCTGGAAGTGGGTGGAGAGGTGGAGTGTGTTAAACAATCGCAGGCAGTCACTGAGCACATTTAATCAACTCGCATCTATATGCTGCCCAGTTGCATGAATTAGTGCTTTTGATGACTTAACAACAATATTGTGATGATAAAAACAATATTTCCATCACACGTCTGTAAAGAAGGCTGCGTCTTCTCCTTTTTGACGTCTGTCTGTGCTGAAATATTAAATATCTATACAGACGTTTTGATTGATCTCCCTGCAGCTCAGTCACTGATGATTGCGGCTTTTTGGCGATGTGTTTGTTGTCTCGCGGCGCTTTGAAAGCTCACGTATCAAAGTGCTGGTTGCCAGACCTTTTTCGTAACTCAAAAATGCAGCTAAATGCCCTTCAACCTCGCCCGACCCACCTTTGTAGCAGCATTTGCAATGGTGATTTAAATACTTCAAAGGCAAATCCCAGGTGTTTTAGAAAATGAAAGTAGTGGCGCATATAATACAAGAAATATAACTGCCAACAACACAAGTAATAAAAAATTTACACTACTGTTCTCACAGTGAACGCCGTCACCGGGTAAAAAAAGGCCTGGCACCATATGAATGATGATTCCCAGTGGGTCTCCCTCTCTCTGGGGTGGAGATGTCACTGCTGCCATGCTGAAACGAGGCCCTCCCTCTGAGAGCTATAATGATGTTCAGCTTGTACTCTCAGCAAACGTGCATGGCACGCACTGGGAACACGCTCCCAAATGTATGTGAAAAGAAATTTACGGTGTGGAAAATTATTATTTTATTCTCTGATGAACTTGTAAGTTTGCAAACATGCAAAGAAGTGAACAGTCTCATTTCTATGGTAATTTTAATTTTAATTTTTAATGAAGAGAGACAGAATATTAACGATAATCTAAAGACTACAATCAGCATTGTTGAGAGACTCCTGATCTCAACTTCTTATCTGTATAAAGCGTGTCTGTCCACAGAATCAGTTTCTTGCATTCCAACCTCTCTACCACCCTGGACATGATCAAAGAGGTGACATCAGGGGAACGATAACAGGAGGATGATCGTGAGAAAAGTGGTGGATCAGCCAAAAACTGCATAATGAAGACAATTGGGTTTACAGTCACCAAGAACAGCACAGTGTCCCCAAGGTCCCACTGCTCAAGAAGGCACATGTACAGGACGTCTGAAGTTTGTCACTAAACATCTAAATGACACAGAGAAGGCCTGGGAGAAAGTGCTATGGCCAGATGAAACCAAAATCGAGCTCTTTGGAATCAACTTGACCCAGTGTTTGGAGGAAGAGACAGTTGACCCACAGGACACTAACCCCACAGCCAAGCACGGCGATGGAAACATTATGCTTTAGGGCTTTTTATGTGCTAAGGGTATAGGAAAGTACAGGAGGGACCAATGGACAGGGCCATGCACCATAAAATCTTGTATGAGAACCTCCTCTCCTCAACCAGAACACTCATGACGAAGTCATCGATGGATCTCCCAGCATGACAGTAAGGAGTGACTTATAAAGAAGCACATTAAGGTCATGGAAGGGCCTAGCCCAGGGGTGGGCAATCTCAGTCCACAAGGTCCGGTGTCCCTGCAGGTTTTAGATGTGTCCTCGAACCAACACAGCTGATTTAAATGGCTAAATTAGCTCCTCAACATGTCCTGAAGTTCTCCAGAGGCCTGGTAACGAACTAATCATGTGATTCAGGTGTGTTGACCCAAGGTGAGATCTAAAACCTGCAGGGACACCGGCCCTCGTGGACTGAGATTGCCCACCCCTGGCCTAGCCAGTCTCTAGAGCTGAATCCTACAGAAAATCTATGGAGGGGTACGAAGCTGTCACTGCAGTGGTTGGCAATAAACCTAAAGGACTGAGAGAGTTTCTTTAAAGAGGAGTGGGCCAAAATCCCTCTTGAGATGTGTATGAACCTGGTGACTTCTTACCGCTGTGCTTGCTAATAAGAGTTTCTCCAACAAGATCTGCTTGGGTATCAACTACTTATTTTACTCAGTGACATGCAAATCCATTTATAACTTTTATGTAATGCGTTTTCGCTTTTTAAAGTTTTATTTGTGGTTGATATTGTGTCTCGGGGACTGTTACGGTACTATTCATTGCTTGGTAAGTGAGCAAACTTACAAATTTAACCGGGGATCAAATAACGATCCCCCGCTGACACACAAGCTCAGCATCTGTCGTGCCACGAGGAAAGACTGAGAGAAATACATGAAAAATATCAATGTTATTCAGAGTTGGGCGAGTAGAGCACTGGTGTGATATGTTGAATCAATAAAGGCTTTTTCAAATGAAATAAAATGCAGAACAATTTATGCCACACCAGCAACAACATCAACAGTTATAAAATCATAAAAACGCGCCCCAGAGAAGACAAACGGCATGAGATTGATTACAGCGCTCAAAAAAGCCAGCACGAGTAGATTCAATATCAGCAGAGGAAAAACACCCGGGCATGTTGTAGAGTAGCAAATTACCTGGACTGACAAGTTATTAGCCTTCAATGAGCCTGATAATGTGTAAATGGGGAAAAAGTGATTGACAGCAAAAAAAAGGAGAAGGAAGGATCAGGATTGGAAGAGAAACACACCTGTTCAAAGAATTCGTCCATAAAGCCTTTCTCCATCCCAACAGCGACTTCATCTTCCTCCTCAGTCGTCTCCTTCCCCTGGACACACACACACACACACACACACACACACACACACACACACACACACACACACGAAATAAAAAAATTTATACGCATTAATACATAATCTTATCATAATTTAATTACTTATATTACATGAACCAGTTAAATAATAAAGCAATAAACATGGTTAATAACATTAAAAAAACACTAAAACAACATGTAAACATAATTTCTATCAACAACACTGATGATGACGACTGAATTGGACCGTGTTAGGTTGTTTTTACATAATTCGAGGTTAAATGGAACAGTGAGAACCCCCCCCCCTCCCAAACCTCTCCAAACATCACCTGATTAGAATCAAGGAGCACTTAATGACACTTTTAATTAGAACCACAGGTCGAGTGATTAGCAAGTCATTATTGAATTAGAACCTACGGGCAGAGAAAACCTTGACTTCTGCACCCCTCTACCTTCACTCATGCACAGATACATGTAACCATTTCAGCTTAAAGGAGCAGATTAATATTTTGATACCACTCCTATATCTCTGTAGTTAACACACTAAATCATGCAACAGGTTAGACTTTAATCAGGGGAAACCAGCTGTTGTGACTTTGTCCTAATGGTAACAAAATCCCCTTAGCAGTTCTCCAAATTTACATGTGACTTAATAACATTTTGAAAAATAAACCCTAAATAGTCAACTAAAAGCTTACTGCAGAAAAAACAAACAACAGGGTTACTCAAAGAAAAAGAAAAAAAATAAATCACAAGACTGGAACCTGTTGAAACTCAAATTCTCAAAATGTCCAACTCTTCTAGTAATTACGGTTGTTTTCTGCTGTTACTGAGGTACATTCACGTCACTAAGGCCTGAACATTCTCAGTGAATAAATCAAAGCTTGGACGCAAAAACATAAAAACAAAAAGTTCAAAACTCTGCAAACTTTTCGCAGTCTGGCATATGATTCATTCTGAAATGCATGCTTCTAATCACACATCAGCCATTATACTGCATTAGTGGGATCTCATGTGGCCTCATCTCATTCATCACAGCCACTGTCAAACTAATTTGGTTCCCCATTAGTGGCCTATGAGATCCATTTGCTTATCAAGGCTGTGAGGACAGAGTGCAGTTTTCATCTTCTTTTGCCTGAAATGACTCCTTACTCTTATCCCAGAATTTCCAAACAGCAGTAAGAGAGTCCTGAATTATGCAAATGATGCTTCCCAGTGTCTGTCAAAATGATGACTTCATTTCCTCTCAAACCTCAAAATAAAACTGTTACCAAAGTAAGAATAAGATTAAGAGTCCCTAAAACTTTAAAAACTCTTTAAACCATTAAATTAACCAGTAAATATTTAAAAACTTCAATGAATCATATCCAGATATTATTTATGCTCTCTCCATGTGTATGGGCAGCCAGCCAGGTTCAACCAGACAGGGAAACAAATGCAGGCATTACATGCATCAGCAGGCAGGAAGCACAGGAAACTTTTGCATCAAGTGATCAATTTCCAGTAAAAGAAATGAGCTACTTATCCCTTGTTAACTGTTTAACAATGGATCAGCAGGATGCACATATACATCATGCGTTACTTGCGTTACAGTTTGTACAGCTGATATTACCAAACATTCATGAATACATTTATATTCTCCAGCCACTTTACTCCGTGTCAGTGTTGGATTGAACCCATTTTGTCTTCAGAGCTGCCTTAATTCACTATTTCATAGATTCAACAAGTTGCTGTAAATATTCCTCAGAGATTTCTGTCCACATTGACATGACAGCATCACACAGTATCTGCAGATTTGTTGGCTGAGTACAGTGAACTCATTTTCATGTTCAGAAAACAAGTTTGAGATGATTTAACCTTTGTGACATGGCAAACTGTGGTCAGAAAGGGATGGGCATGGTCAGCAACAATAGTCGGGTAGGCTGCAATGTTTAAATGATTTTCAGTTGGTGATAAGAGCTCCACAGTGTGCCAGGAACATATCCCCCACACAATTACTCGCCTGCGGCTGCCATGCATGCCTCAGCAGCCTGGTTTGTTGACACGGGGCAGGGTGGATTCTGATTCTACCACCTGAATGCAGGAGAAATCGAGACTCATCGGAACAGGTAACATTTTTCAAATCTTCCATTGTCCTGTTTTGGTGAACAGGTGCAAACCGTAGCCTCTGTTTCCTGCTCTTAGCTGACAAGAGTTGCAGCCAGTGTGGTCTTCTGCTGCTGTAGCCCATCTGCTTCAAGGTTCAACATATTGTGCATTCAGAGATGCTCTTCTGCATACTTGGATGTATTTATTTGTATTATTTGCGTTACCATTGCCTTCCTATCTGGCCAATCTTGCACTAGCATCCATGCAACATTCAAAGTTGTTCAAATCACCTTTCTTCTCCATTCTGATGCTCGCTTTGACCTTCATGCCAGATCCACTGAGTTGCTGCCATGTGATTGGCTGATTGAAGTGTTAATGAGCAGCTTTAGTTAATGAGCAGCTTAACAAGTGTACCTAATAAAGTGGTCAGTGAATATAGTTGCCAATGTATGGTGGCACTGCAAGTTGTTTAAATACTGAGATTCATCTTTTTAAAGTCATTCTAAAGTATGAAAAATTGCTTCTGACTCTTTTTATTCAGTGAAAAGCATTAAAGTGTCCGAACATTAGAAAATAAAGTCTGCGTAGGAGATTTTTTGTAGATTACAACTGAAAAATATGATAAAATGACTCAACGAATCTAATATGACTTAAATCAAATCATACCGCTTCTTTTTTATGTTCTACTACGCAGACACTGAAAGATAAAAATTGTGAAAGTTTGCGCCTGTAAAAAAAAAAAAGAATAAATAACTGTATTAAACTTCTTCTTCGATGCCATTTCTCTTTGAAGAGGGTTAAAATGTGATATGCTGACACAGTAGGAGATGGGGAGGAGACATAAGGAAATCAGACGAGAACAACTGAAGAAAAGGAAACAGTTCCTGAGAAAATGCTTGTGAAGACAGACTTTAGCAAGACAAATGCCACAGAGGAGTACGCGAGTAAGCGAGAGGAGTACAGAGATGCTGTAATCCCACTAATATCTAGACCTACTCAAACTAATCCAAGTGTACACAGAGTATATATATTCACTACAGGTACAGTAAATTGCTAACAAACTAGAATAATAAGAATAAAGGTCCTAAAAGTCCATTTTGAGACCTAATCTTTAATGTGTTGGTATGGCGCTGATATGCATTCACGGAGCTGCAGACTTTCAGAAGCAGCCAGAGTAGAGGCGGCAGAAGCAGCAGGAGGCAGAGGAGGAGAATAAGCAGGGAATCAGAATAGGCTCAGAGCACCAGTACTGTGTTCAGCCTCCACAGAGAGATGCTGTATCTCCCACAGAGAGAGGAGGGCTTTGGTCTGGTTTTACTTTGTGTGGTCAGGAGGACAGAAGACCGAGTAGCGCACCTCAAACGTCCTCCTCCCACCAGATCTGAAGCTCCTGCTGAGCCACAAAGAGGCTGGGAGAGGCCTTTAGTGCTGCGCTCTTCACTGAGCCTACAGACTTGACTATCCACACAACAGATGCTCTGAGCAAGACACACAAACATGCATACACACTGTAGCTAGCACACTGGCAATATACAGCAGAGGGTAAACACACAGAGAGAATGAGCTTTATATACAAACTGGTCCCCCCATCATACCAGAACCTTTGAATGCTTGCTGCTTCTGGGGCTCACACTCGGGTGAAACTCCCCAACTGTGGTGTAGTCAAGTAGTGGCCTGATTATGGTGTTTATTAGATTAGAGAGTTGATGCGGGCAGCATGCCAGCAAGATATTGCTCTATGAAGACAAAAGTGCCTGCACAGACACAGGAGGAGGAGGAAATGTAGTCCAAGTGTGAGGGAGGGAGAGATAAAACAGGCTTAGTGAGCAGGCTGCAAGAATCACGGTTCCTATCACCAAGGTATTAAAGGGAAAAAAAAAGAGGGGAACAAAACAATTACAGAAAGCTGTTAAAGTGCATTAACATGTGCAACAAAAAGCCATGCAGGCAATAGTGTGTTGATGTACAAGAAATCGGATTAAATAAAGGGGGTGTGGATGGGGGATAAAATATGCTTGCAAGCCTGTACGCTCTCAGACTCTGTGCAGTGTTTTATATGAAAATAAGCTGAGTAAGACCAGTGAGAGACAGTTCAAGTAGACACCCATGTGAGCAGTACTTTATTGTCCTTTTGTGTTACCATATTAAAGCAGACCCGTTTCCTGCATCTTTGTATCGCAGCCAAATCAAGCAGCTTCCTGCAGTCCCATTAGAAATGACTCATAAAAATCTGTGTCAGCTGCACAGAGGAACACTGAGCGTATAACCAGATTTATTATCCCAATACAGCTAGGTAGCATTCATTATAGATGTGCGCTCACTCAGTGACACGCAAACCTTTGATTATTTATTCATTTTCCTACAGTAGACAAACACCAAGCTAGAAACAGCAGAATCTGAACGATATAGTAACAGATTCGCGCTCAGTTTGCAAAGCTCTGCTGCTCACAGGATATTTCGAATCTGCTAGTAAAGGAGGAAGAGAACCACGACTTTCAAACTGCAGTCTTACAGCGAGTTTTGCATGGGCTCAAGCGCCATAAATTTTGTCAGAGAGTGAACACAAGACTCTGTATTAAAGTCCTTCACCCCTCACTTCACTACAAGGGAACTAAATGGGCATTGTATTTTTCATTCATTTAATTTTTCTTAGAGTTTCAGATTGTGTTTGGTCATTTCAGTCTATTAAAAAAAAAAGTGAATATTTTAGCATTACCTTCATTGCTTTTGTTTTGTTTGCTTTTAAAGTAATATAGGTGGTCTGAATAAGAAGCAAAAAATAAGATGCCAAATCTGCTACACGATCAACTCACACTGGTTTTTTGCAGCCATCTTGATTTTGCACATTATTTGAATATTATTATTAATATTTGAATAGCCCCCTGTTCTGAGGCTTAATGCTCCAACTGGTCCCCATGGAGATA